CTCTAGCTTAGGTCCGAAAAGGATTTTGGAAATACGCTTTCTTTTCTTCAGTAGGAATATTGTTAGTATCACTGGCACAAATAAGATGATTATCAGTGAAATGATGCTGAATGAAGGAACGAAACTGTTTTGCTCTTCTATTACAAGCGGACAAACCTCGATCTAGAAACGATTAGCTAAAGACACCAGCTTACCAACCTACTATTAAAACGACCCTGTCTTACTTGTGCGCAGTTGACTGTCACACGTACCGTACTCCGAAAGCAAGATGGCTGCTGTAAGGCTGACGACTCACAGCATTCACTCCAGCATTATGTGAGTAACAGGGTCAATAGTATTCGCAGTATAGGCATTCATCTATGTCTGTCTTTCTGAACCTATGAAGATACGCCATAAAACACCCACGTCATGTGAGCACTTGTGCCAGGAAGTAATCTTGTCGCCTATGACCACAGTCCATTTAGTCCACTGGGCAACATCTTCCGTGTTGTTCCACTCTTCTTGCCATCTTTTCTTTTCTTTATTTTTTTATGGCTGTCAAATACTCTCTTCTCTCATAAATATGTCTCCTTTGTACTGCTAACACACGCAAAGGAACCCGCGATAGCCGACAAGGCCGCCGCAGATACAGTCCTGTAGGCGCATGCTACTCGCAACAGTCTCGTTCTGTCTACTCGTATCATAAGCCCCTTGTCGGTCGGTATCTCTACTGCCCATTTCAGAGTGGTGTAGCATACACATCTCAAAGGTGTAGAAGCCTTTGAGATGTATGTTTTTCGAAGGATGCTGAAGATCTCTTGGACAAAGCACGTGACAAACGACGAGGTGCTAAGAAGAATGGGTACTGAGAGAGAACTCCTAAATATTGTAAAAAACAAAACAACGAGTTATCTAGGACATATTTACAGAGGAGAAAAATACAACTTCCTACGACTTATAATGGAAAGGAAAGTAGAAGGAAGAAGAAGTCCAGGAAGAAGAAAATGCTCCTGCTTGAAGAATGTAAGAGACTGGAAAGGCATGGACACACATTCGATACTAAGAACAGCTCAAGATAGAGAGCAATTTGTTGTAGTTATAGCATTCTTCTTCTTAGGGTGCCTGTCCGTTCCGAAAGTTGGCGACCAAACTGGCTATGATGATTTTGTTGGTTGCTATACGAAATAGCTGTGTTGAGGTTTTTCTATACCATGCTCTTAGGTTAGCAAGCCAGGATATTCTTCTTCGTCTTGGGGCTCTTTTTCCTTCAATTTTACCCTGCAAAATGCATTGTAGTAGCTCGTATCTGCCTCGATTTCTCATATGTCCATACAGAAGCACTGTATGGACAAGAATGCACTTTTGGTCTTTCGATGCGACATTTAATCTCCTGGGTATTGTTATAGCCAACCATCAGTAATGGAGAAGGTACCTTAAGAAGAAGGATTGACTGCACAACACTGTGTTAAACCCTTTCTCCTTTCTGATTTGGGTTCCCCAATGTTAGGCATCACCCTCTCCACCACAGCCGCACTCTTCGCTTTTTTCTGGGCTATCACCCGTATATGCTCCCCCATCCACCATATCGGTGTAGCTCCCAGATATTTGACGCATTTCTTTGATGTTAGCCGTATCCCTGCACATCGGAGTTCAATTGGCAAAAGCCAAGGGGGTTATACCTTTTCCATATTCGCAGTTCATGACCCTGTTATATGCCAGATTTTATAGCGTCGGAACCAAGACCGATTTGTGTGGGACTCCAGCCGTTACGTCAACGAGCGTGTCCTTCTCAACCATGATCTTTCTTTCGAAAAGATATTCAGCCATCATATTAATCAGATAGTTGGGACTTTCCCTCTCCTCCACTGCCCGCATCACCTCTTTAAACTGCAGAGTGTTAAACGCATTTCTAACATGGAAGAGCTGCAGAGCCACCCAGCGCTGTTCGTCTCCAATATTGTGCAATGCCTCGATATCATCAAAATTGCGACAATTATGCTCTTCCATTTGCAGAATCCCAATTGTCTCGGGGATAGGCCTCCTGATCTCTTAGTCGTGTCGTCGATCCGTCCTCGCAGCATTCTATCGTACAAACATGGGAGGAGGCATATATGGCGATATTTCTCCCTAGTTTTGGGAAGCAGTAACAACGTTGATGTCCTCCAAGCCTCAGGAAAATCTGTGTTTCAAGAAATGCATTTATGTGCTCCAAAAGCCACCCAGGTTCCTCGTGTCCTATACCCTTTACCCCTTCGGGCGGTATCTGGTATAGTTCGGGGGACCTTCGTGTCTTGAGTGCATCTAATACCTTAATTCACACCTCCACACTCGTGAAGTGGCATAGTGACCAAGAAAATGAGTTGTTTTCTTGTCTTCGTGGTACTCAGTCACAGTAAGATCTTCTTGAGAATATCTGAAAGTCTTCATTACAGTTTTAGCTTACTTTCACTTATCCCGAGTGCGTCACAAACGCGTTGATTTATACATAATAATGATTTTAAAGGTCCACCATTGTCTCTTTCCATGGTAAAATATTTATGCACATTTGCAATTAATTCATCAATATTCAACTTAAGTCTAGGCATGATAGTCAATTGAAACTACACGTTTAAATTACAATATACTGTGAGTTTATATCAATATGTCAGAAACTTTCTATCTGTTGTGCTTGAGAGGTAAAATACAACCGCTTACAAAGATCATAAATACATTAAGCAAATTAGCCTAATGATTATTAGGAATTTCCATTGTAATTTAATTATGTTTGATAAAAAGTTTAGAAATGGTTGGAACCCGTACATAAACAAATTAAAATGTTTCCCACAATTATTTTATTTTTAATACAAGTATTTTCATTTGAAAATAAAAAGTTAAATATATTTACCAACATCCTAGCTTTAACCTGTAATCGCAGACGCTTCAAAAACGTTACACACTATCAGACATATGGTCAATTTAACCACCAGTGTTTAAATTGACAAAATGTTCTAGTTTACTCCGAAGTATTTTTTAATAAAAATTAAAAGTGATATTTTAGTACTTTGTATATCTACTTTGAATATAAATTATCCTTAGCACGGTAGTATTTGATTCAGAAAAACAAATTATTAAACAAGTAGGTGGGTTAATAAACAACGGGTTAATGGTACATATTAAAGTTTTTAACAAAAATTTAGTAAACATTATGGAGAACACCAGTTCAGTTTACCGTGCCTTTTACTACAACGAATGGTTTTCTGCGAATTCCGTTAATCGTTTAGAGGTGTAAGTTTGTTGAATGTACTGTATGCATCAGTGGTATGGTGGCCAAAGGTATAGCAAAAAAGTGCTATCCTCAAACAAAGCACGGTGAAAAGAGTTGCTTGCTTTGGAATTAAAGGGGCTCTGAGGGCCATACCAACAGCAATAGCTATGGAGGCGCTAATGAACATCCTTCCTCTGCACATAGTTTTAAGGGGGAATGGGATTTTATAGACCGTGAGAAAACAAGTACATGCCAAAAGTATCTTTGTTAAAGAAACATACAACCCAGGACAGGGTTATATCTGATATACACAGATAGGTTCAAAACTATAGAAGGGTTGGATGTAAGAATCTTCAGCAGTGGTGGAAATGTAAACATTTCTATTCCACTAAGAGAATATAACTCAGCATTCAAAGCAGATATTTATGTATTGCATTCTGCTCGAAAAACTGACATAAAGGCTTTTGAACTAAAGCGGATGTATAGATAACCAAGCAGCCATTGGGGGCTCTTAGAAGCCCTTAGGTGGACTCTAGGACAGTATGGGAATGATGAGAGAAATTCAACGGAACATAACAGTGTCACACTGGTATGGATTCTGGGTCACCGCGGAATACACGCAATGAAGCACCTGAAGAATTTATCACAAGAGCATCAGCTACAAAATATTTCTGGTCCAAAGCTGGCCTTTACAGTACCAAAAAGTAACGTCCGCGATCAGAAAAAAACCTGGGCCCGAACACAACATAACTCAGTGGGAAAGTATAACCGGTCAAGCACATGGCAAAATTTATATTAGGACATACGTTAATAGGGCTGAAGTACTGCTGAAAACAAACAGGAATCAGCTCAAAGTCATAATAGGCTTCCTTAGTGGACATACGCCAGTCAAGGAACACATTCATACAATAGGACTGTTGGATGGAGACTTTAAAAATTTAACTGCTTCAATGCAGACTCTGTAACAGAGAACCTGAGGAGTTGGAACAGTCTGCTGTTGAGGAGTTGAAACTATATAGTGAATGACTGCAAGGCGTTAGGACGCAGGCGGTAGACACTTTTTGGAGACTAGCAAGTGACTCCGAAAACGTACGGTACTCAATGGGTATCATGAATGAATGGAAGATGTACATTGGAAACTACAGGATAACATTTATTGATGCTTAATGTATGCTGATGATGTGTTAGTGATATATGATATGTGTTACTGATAGTAATAGAAAATAGTGAAAGATTAGAGTAAGGACTGGAACAGTGGCGAAAACCTCTTGAATAAAAAGGTTTGAAACTTCGTAAGCAAAAACAAAATATTTAGAATGTTTATTTAAAGATTGAGTTATTAATATAAGTCAGATGATAACGACTTTCTGTGGTGAAATGATTATGAAAACTAATAGTTTTACATATATAGAACGAGTATTACAGAATAATGGGGTATTATATAGAGATGATTGTAGTAGAGCTAGAGTGGGACAGAAAGCAAAATTCTATAAAACTCCCATATAGAAACAACGAATGCATGTGGCGGGAATGGGAATGTTTAGATGGACGAGTTTAGTGACAAAATAGGATTAAAATTATAGTCAAAATAATAATAAAAACCTTTGAAGACCTGTTGGGAGACGCTTAGACAAGACATGCTTGTTCAAAATTTGTCTAAAGCTTATGGTAATTTATATTTTTACTTGTATACAAGCTGTCATTATAATGATAATTATTTATTAATAAATCTTTTTTAAAGGATTTTTTTTTGATAATTATTTATTTTCAACTTTAGGGCGATTTGAACATAGTTGGGTCATTTGACAGAAGAGGGCAGTATATATATACCGGTAATGCAAAAGGAAAAGTATTGGTGTTGAATTCTAATACACTGGAAATAAAGGCGAGTTTTAGAATAATGCAAGGATCTTCTAGCACAACTGCTGTAAGAAGTATTGAATTTGCACGAAGAGGAGAGTAAGTTAAGCTACAGTTTAAAAAGTTAAACTTGTAATTGTAATCATTTAAATCATTACTTATATGTTTCAGTTAACATTTCGCCGCTTCGCAAGAACGTTGGCTTAAGTAAAAAAAGACGATTTTAGAGGAGAGGCATTTTAAAATTTTATAGATATGATTATGGGCATAATAAGTTGTTACCTTTAAAGGAATTACCAATAACATTTTGTTAGACATGTATCTAAATATAAACTGTGATAACTAGATAAATTTATGAAGTGTAAAAATGGTTAAATTTTATCATTTTGTTAACCTCTGTTAGAGTTGAGTCTTTTTTCCTGACAAACATTTACTTCAACTTTGTTAATAGGGCTATTTTTTATATACTGCTTAACGTAATATTGCGATAATTATACTAAAAGTGATTCTTCTCTAATGCTCCAATATGCAAAACAGACTCGATAATCAACAGAAGAGCTGTCAAAATTCAAACAATAAAAGACCAATTAAATGCAATCATTTATAATTGATGGATTCGACCGTTACTTGAAGAAAATTCATTTTATGTAACAATAAAACACTGAAAACTTTGTTTTCAAAACTTCCACAAAATTTATTTTAAACTCATCACTACAGCTATTTCGGCTGATTGCCTTTCTCAAGTGATCTTTTTTTGGCATGCGTTTACACTTTATAGTCTTTAATGAAATAGGTTGAGGAGGGGAGAACTGTTTGTCTCATGTTGGTCATTCAAAATTATATGTGTGTTTTTTAATTTGTTCATTTCCATAGATTCTAACAAAGATAGCTTAAGGCCTTTATTTTGAATGTGAAGAATTTTAAATTCGTCATTAAAAGAATGATTATGATCTAGAAGGTGAAGTGCGTATATATAATCTATTTTTCTATTATTGAAAGCCCTTTTATATTCTGGTATTCGTGTATTAAAATTTCTACCAGTTTGACCAATGTAAGTTTTTGGGCAGTCGCCACATTTAAGTTTCGCTCTTGTTGTTTTTAATATATTTGGCCAAGTTGTTATTTGTTCTGAAAGCTGGTGTTATTCCTTTCTTTTTTAATGTGTTTGGCTATTTTTGTTGATATTTTGCCTGTATACGTAATCCAGCAAAAGGTACTGGGTTTTTTCTCTGGTGGTGGAAATACTAATTTCAGGGCTTTCATGTGTAGTTTTTGATTTAACATTTTATTAATTATTTGTTCGTTGCATCCATTGTTTACTGCTATTTGCTTAATGATATTTAATTCTGTCTCAAAGTTGTATTTTGACATCGGAATTTCTGTTAATCTATGTAACATACTATGATAGGCAGCCAGTTTATGTTGTGTGGGATGGAATGATGAATTGTGTATCATCGTGTCAGTATGGGTAGGTTTATGAAATATGGAGAAGTCATGTTTGTTTTTAAGTCTGATAATTTTTAAATTTAAAAAAAATTTATGGATTGATTTTGTTCTGTTTCTATTGCAAATTCAATATGACTATGAAGTGAATTAATATAGGATAAAAATTGATCGAGTTACGTGTTAGTTCCTGTGAAACATACCAGTACGTTGTCTACGTATCTCCACCAATATAAAAACTGTTTGAATATGTGATGTTTTGAAATCTTTGTCTCTAGATGATTCATAAAAATATCTGATAGCAATGGGCTTAAAGGATTGCCCATTAAAGTCCTGCACTGTTATTTGTATATATTTGATTATTAAATTCAAAGTAGTCCTGGTTTATGCAAACTTCAAGAGGATGTAAAATTTCAGATGTATTGATTGGATTTTTACTATTTTGGTCTAAGATTTTTTATCAGAATAAAAGTTTCTGTAGGAGGAATACTAGGAAACATATTTTTTACGTCAAATGAAGTTAATCTGGTGTTGTTAATTGAAAATGTTGTATATTATTAACTAGTTCTATTGTATTTTTTATGGTAAATTTAGGTGAAAATTTAGTGTGTTCTAAAATAATCTCTAACAGTTTTTTTGAAAGTTTATATGACGGAGTTGTATAAAAAGCAACTACAGGTCTTATTGGGTGATCCGGTTTGTGTAGTTTAATAAAAGAGTATAACTTAGGAGGCTGTGGGTTCATGATATTGAGGTATTTCTGTTCTGTTGGATTTACTATTTTATTTTACTATTGTTGTTTCAATATTTTGATTATTTAAAAATTTCATTTTTTTTGTTATTATATTCTATTTTATCTATAGCAATAGTAGTTTTACTAGTCTGCTTTTGTAAGCACTATGTTGTTTTCTATTGATTTATTTTTAATTGAAATGGCTGTTTTATTCTCTTTGTAACAGGAATTTTTGGTTTCAATACACACATCTGTAATAGATTTTGCAATTATACTTATTTCGATATTGTTAGCAGTTTTGTTTAATGCTACTTCACATTCTACACCTAAATACTCTAAAGTTTTCTGATTATTATGTTAAAATTGTGTTAAATCCTTTCTCTAAAAGTTGTATCTCGCTATTACTAAAGTTAGTATATGTTAAATTTATAAATCTATTAAAAAAATTATGGTTCTGTTATCGAGAAACGTCGATAGGGCTGGAACGGCCCTATCTGGCTCTGCGGACTTCTTGCGGTCCTGGGAGTTGGATCTGGAGGTAGTGCGAGTATCCACCATTCTCGTGTATGCAGTTCGTCACGTTTCGTATTCGCAGACACGAGATACGTGATATGTGGCGACTTGTGTATGATCTCGGAGGAAATATCACAAGTCAGTGAGTTCGAAAATGCAGATAAATATGCAGAAAAGGTAAAATACAGCTCGTATAAGTGTTCTACAACAAGTAGAGAAGTCACTTAAGCTTTTAGAATAATCAAATGAAAGGTAAAACATTGATTGTATGCACCAATCGATAAATCATTCATATATATAAACAACAAAGTTTATTGGGGCTGCAGTCAGAAGTTTGGCCGGGATGTTACAGAAACACTCTTTTGACCTTTGGTCTAGCTTTCGGAATTGTTTAATTCCTTTATCAAGACACTGTAATTAGAAAAATGTGTAAATATTTACAATATATCACAAGATGTCAGTGTACTTACTAGTCGTTGAGATTATTTGTAAGAAGCTATGACACTCAACATTAATAACAAACATATAAACTATAACTTATACAATAATGGATACAATACATTTTAAAATTTAGTTAAAAATAGTAAAAGTTCTAAAGATTCGTTTTCTACATATTCTTGGTGTTTTAACTTACCCATAGAGAATAAAAAATAAATAAATAAATAAAAAAAAACAAAAATAAACAAAAATAAAAATAGTATTACTATACTATTATTATATAATAGTATACTATTTTTATTTTTGTTTTTTTTTATTCTCTATGGGTAAGTTAAAACACACCAAGAATATGTAGAAAACGAATCTTTAGAACTTTTACTATTTTTAACTAAATTTTAAAATGTATTGTATCCATTATTGTATAAGTTATAGTTTATATGTTTGTTATTAATGTTGAGTGTCATAGCTTCTTACAAATAATCTCAACGACTAGTAAGTACACTGACATCTTGTGATATATTGTAAATATTTACACATTTTTCTAATTACAGTGTCTTGATAAAGGAATTAAACAATTCCGAAAGCTAGACCAAAAGTCAAAAGAGTGTTTCTGTAACATACCGGCCAAACTTCTGACTGCAGCCCCAATAAACTTTGTTGTTTGTTTAAATTGACAGTCACGAATATCCAGTATTCGTTATATATATATATATATATATATATATATATATATATATATATATATATATATATTGTAATAGTTTTGTTTTTGTTATTTTTATGTTTTATTGTTAATAAATATAATTTTAATTGAATTGAAGTGAATTTTAAAAGTATGTAGTTCGTTGTTAATATACTATACCTCGGCTAGCTCAATTATTTGTTCTAAGCAATCTGTCACTGTGTGACGTCAACTCTGTAGTCTCCTGGTAGAGTTCAAAAAGAAATTAAACCAAAATTTACTTTATATTTTTGATAAATTAACCCAAATGAAGCACGTTATTTATTAATATTGAACAAATTTAATATAAACAATAAAATTCGTCTGCAACTTGGGTTGCCTTTAAAAATTTACAAAAATAGGAATCGTGTAAACCTTAATGTGTCGTGAAAATAGAATTTGATTACAAAATGTGGAAACTCTCTACAATTACCTTAAATCTAAATGACTATTGCAACTTTATAAAGTGTTTAAATGAAATATAAAGAAAAGAAAACTGAACACTTTATGCCGCTGACTTATAACTAGCATTAAAATATAATCAAGATTTCAAATGATCCCCAAAATTATTATCCAAACTCACTTTCAAACAGTTCTGATTTTTTTTTTTTAAAGAAAACTAACTACTCGCAAAATAATCGGTGATACTGGAATATCTATCCTCTCTTCAGAAGTTAAAGGTACGTACTATTATATTTTTATTTTAATGATCATTAATATTTCAATTTTTAAGGCCTATCGCAATTAGTTAATTCATGAATTTTTACTTTTTCAATCTAAATGACATTTCTGCACTCCAATTATAATTTATAAGTCAAAATTTCTCTTACTCTCTGGAACAAATTCTGGATATCTCTATTTGAAAATGTGGAAAAACTAAATTATAATTAAACGATTTTAAAGCACTCCCGGACTATTCCACCTTTTTAGGGCTCTTCCTCCAAAATTTTCGTCACCTCCAACAACCTATTCTTCCTTGTTAACCGCCATAGCTAGCCCCAACCAACCAAAATTATTCGTTGCTAACAGCAACCCCCTTTCTTTTTTCATTCCGTCTTCTATTTTATTCAACCATAAAACTGTCCTGTTTTGACATATTTGTCAAACCACATTAATTTCTCATAAGCACTTTAATCACATCTAATTTGGGAATTTATAAAAAAAAAATTCAGATATAAAACTTAACAATACTAATATAATTTATTCTTTTCATCTCCACATCATTGTAATTTATTTAACAAAACCCCTATT